CTCCGGCTGGCAGGCCCCGCCCCGTCACGTGGGTCCAGGTGAGCGCGTCTCCGCCCCGGCGGCCTCGCTGGTCACGTGCACAGGTGAGGCCGCCCGGCGGGCGCGGTCCTTCCTGCTGGGCTGTCCCACACCTCTGGTCTTTATTTTTACCTTGTACATCCCTTCTCATAGTTTGAACCTGTTCTCGCCACCTGTCCTCTTCCCCCAACCGTCACAGTCAGCCCCAGCCCAGTCTCCTAAATTTGACAGGAGCACCTCTGACTCCGAGGCTGTGACTCAAAAGGTAAAATCGCGGTCACCTGTTATACTTAAAAAGCGAGCTGTATATGGTATGTGGGTCTCTAATGGATTTTTAAAACGCCACCCGGGCAGCGTGGAGTCGTCTGGGTCAGTCCAACCCCTGTTCGGCGGTGGCTCCCCGGCAGGTAACCGCTGCGTGGGCCTTTGTCAGAGAAATGGGCCTGGGGGTGTCTACCTCCTGGACGCGCAGATTCCACGATCAGACGCAAAAAGTTTAGCGTGCAGTAAGTGTTCCTTAACTGGTAGCTGACACAATGACAACTATTTTCCTGATTTTTACACACTCAGGTGTCACTGCTCAGTGGACACAGGAGGTCCCGTGGTTATATCCTCCATACAGAACTTTAATTATTGATTCACTCATCTGAAAATTCTTGCTTTTGCCTTTTAAGCATTTACAAGGATTTTTTTTTTTTAAGATTCTATATATGGTTGGGATCCCTGACTTTCAGCTCATCTCCATATATCCCCATTTTATCCTTGATTTTAATGGCGACATTTTATGGATGAAATAAAAACAGTGAGGTCACTTTTATCAACGATGGAAAGTGAGCAAAACTACTCACATCACACACATATTGAGCAGGTTGGAAAATATAGCAGTTGACACATTCACACATTCTCCAGATTGAATCCTGATCTTGTCTGTCAGGTTTGGCCTTTGAGGAACTGTGTTTAGCTCTATGGGCTGATCAGCAGGTCTTAGTAGCTCTACCTCTATGTTATTTTAATAAGCGAAACTCAGAGGTGTGGTGATGGCTTCTGGGTAAAAGCCACAAAACAGGGTGTGGGTGAAACCTTTTGTATGTACCTCTATCGTCTCCACCTAGTCAGCACTTTCTGGTATCTAATGTGTGGCATTTACTTAATAGGAAATATAAAGTTTGTGCTACATTGATCTGTTTGATCGATGGGCTCTTTCTGTGTTCAGACCCTAATGGGTAGGGGATGATCTTTTTGTTTTCTTTTCTTTTTTTTAATTTATTTTCTACCCAAGAGTTCTCAAAAGCACTTAAAGAATGTTCAAAGGGAAGACCACTTCAAATAATTCAGCATGGAGATGATCCACAACTATGACATACTCCAAATATTCTAGCAAATGGACTTAAATTGACCTGGTGTTTCCAGAAATGCTAATGATTTGGGAGAGCCTCTAGTAAGCTAATATAAATTGCTATCCAAGAGAAGTTTTCACTGTACCCCTTCCAGCACCCTCCTTGCTACCGCCTGCATCTCTGACCATCCTTTGCCCTGTCCTGCCTACTTTTACAGTGATCAGTGGAATGAAAATATTGAGCCCTCTTCAAATGTAACATTATCTGCTCGAATCGAATCCTTTCTAGAATGGTTTTCCCCTCTCATAATCACTCCTGACACCTATTTTTCTTGATAATAACAGTTTTCTTCTTAATGGAGGCAACTCCTCTGGAATCAATGCAAGGAAAGAAAATGGCCAGGAAGGATAGATTTGTGCATAAATACAAGACAATTACATCTAATTTTTTTTAATTATAATAATTTAATATATATTATAAACAAATTTAATAATTGTTTAAAGCAAAAATTATAACAGTATATTTAAGATTTATATGTAAAATAGAATGTATGGCTACAATAGCACAAAGGTCTTGGGAGGGAAATTAGTGTTCCTTCTTATTATTCGTATAGATTTACAGGATACAGGTATACTTTTTAAATGTGCATAGATTGCATAGTGGCAAAGGGTTTTAGGATATCCATCACCTGAAAATTTACATGGCACCCATTAAATGATTTCTCATCACATATTCCCCTTCCACCCTCTCACCCTTCTAAATCCCCATTGTCTATCATTCCACATTCTACGTCCATGTATACACATTTAGATCCCACTTATGAGGACATGAGGTGTTTGTCTTTCTGTGTCTGGCTTGTTTCACCTGCATTGGTGATCTCCAGTCCCATCCATTTTGCTGCAAAAGTTTACTATTAAAAAGACAAAAATACAAGGTTGCCAAGGATGTGGACAAAAGGAAATTCTTACATGCCAGTGGTAGAAATGTAAATTAGTACAACTCTATGGAAAACAGTGTGGAAATTTCTCAAGGAACTAAAAATAGATCCACCCTTTGATCCATTAATCTCACTACTGGTATCCACCCAAAGGAAAAGATATCATTTTATCAAAAGGACACCTACACTCACATTTTTCTTGTAGCACTGTTCATTATAGCAAAGATATGGGATCAAACTAAATATCCGTTAATGAATAATTGGATGACAAAAATGGCATATAGATACACAGCAGAATATTTTTCAGCCATAAAAAAAGATTTATGTGTTTTGAATTTTAGTGTTCTAAAATTCTTATTCTCCTTTTGGAGTGGTATAATGGTACATAAAATTAACTGCAAAAAGTATACTATATTTCTTACAGAAATTACAAAAATGAAGACAGTTATAGCTAATAAGGCAACAAAAGAAGATAGCTATCACAAAAGTTATGTACTTAATCCAAAAGAAATCATATGAAGAAGATAAAGGGAACAAAGTATATATAAAACAGAAAACAAATAGAAAGATGGTAGAATTGAACCAATAATCACATTACATGCAAATTCCTTAAACATCCTCTACTCAAAGGCAAGTATTATCAGATTTGATAAAAAGCAAAACACAACTATACATTGACTACAAGAAAACTGTCTTAAATATAAAGATACGATATATTAGAAGAGAAAGGATATAAGTAGGTTTCCCATGAGAAGAATATAATCAAAGCCTTTAATATCCAACTAAATAGGTTTCCATGTCAGGAAAGTTTCAAAGATATTGCATAATGATAAAAAGATCTATTTATCAAAGGGGCTAAAAACTTCCAAACGTTTATACACCTTGTAATCGTTTTCAATTAATGGTGCAAAGCTAATAGAATTCAAGGAGAGTATAGAGACCTGCAGTTAGAATCAGAGATCGCATCACCCCCTCTCAATAACTGATAAAAGAAGTAGAAAGAAAACAAGTGACATTATAGAAGACTTGATCAACGTTTTACACTCCTTGTCTTGTATCTGGCCTCCAGAGGCAGACCCTGAGATACAGATTTACTAATAAGTGATTGAGAAAAGGAGTGTTCACTCCTAGGGCAGCCTGGAAAAAATGCGAATGATACAGGATGGGGAAGGGGAGGAAGCCCAGCAAGGGTGTGATTTCAGGCAACGTCCTAGTGTGGCGTAGTCCCCGGGCAAGGATTTCCTACCTCTTTACCTGTCTACCTGGCAAAGGTTAAGGAGGAAAGGCAGGAGAACTATGAAGTCTGAAGTCTTCCAGCTCCATGCACATGATGGAAATTCACCTTCAGTAGCTAGCTGAAGGTTGTCATCCAAAAATGGGCCAAGGGTGCTGATGATGAACTTACACCAGAGAGGGAAAAGGGCACATGGAAATGTAATGGGATTTGAAGGGACCAGGGAGAGCATCATCTGCTTCACTCCCTAATTTATATCCCTAACTCTGATTTCTCTCTCAAATTACTGACCTCAACTTCCAATTGTCTGTTGGTATGCACCTGTACTGTAAGCTCAACATCCTACAGGCAACTTTTTCTTTCCCTACAAAACTTCACCTTTCTCTCTGGGTTCTTCCTTCTGTTCCTGCTATTGCCGTTTACCCAGATAGTCTTCAATTTCACTTGTTCTTGTAAAAAAAGAAGAACATTTCTATATCTAGTTTCCAAATCTTTGCAATCTTATCTCTTTCATATCTCATACATCTGTCCTATTCCTTCATTTCCACTACTTAACAACAATGTCCTATTACCTCTCCTTTGTTTCAAATACCTGGTTTTGTGTCTAATCATTTATGCCCTGGTAAATGTTAAGTAGTGCTGTCACATTTACTTTATCAAAACCCAGCCTACACGTGTTATTTTCCTTCCTGATAGCTTTTGATGGCAGCCCATTACATACTAAGTACGTGGCAAACTGAACAACTTGCTGTGCCTTGTAACTCTGCACATGCTGATCTCTGTCTTTGTCCACTTCTCCACTTGTCCTGACCTTCTCAAATAATTTCTCCTTCAATCTTAGAATATCCAAATTTGGTCTAAGCTTTAAGATCTTACCTGAAAGCCAACTCTTTGGTAATGCTCTCTCTTCTTTTTTCTTTTGACCTTTCTATCCTCCCAACACTTTTCATGTTCCATCTTATCTCATGGTCATTTATTAGTTCACACACACATGTGTGTATAAATACATAGTATAAGTACCCATATACACGTGCAAATGCACACATGTATGTCTGTGTACACTCACATTAGTTCATGATAAACATCTCTTTTCTACTGAGGATCATATGTGTGATTTTCCTTTCTTTGCCCTATTGTCCCTTGCTCTGGCCACCACTTAGATATAGTGCTTACACATATTTATTCTTTTATTCAATGAATTTATTTGATGTCTATTATATGACAAATCTGTACGAGGAACTAGAGACAAAGTGGCACATACAACAGACAGAAGCTTAGTCTTCATCAAGCTTCTAGTTCTTTGGAAGAAGTAGTCATCACTG